CAGGCAGGCAGGCAGGCAGTCAGACAGACAGACAGACACACAGACAGACAGACAGGAAGACAACCAACCAACCTGAAGCAGCAGGCAGCACTCTGTAGGCCGAGTCACAAACTCGCGCGCAGCGTTTGGCAGCGTAGTGACCTGCGCGGCCGAAGCCATGGAATAGGGCACAAGGGCTTAAGGTTTCAAGGTAATCATAGCAATGCACCTTCCAGGGTTTGAGCTTTGTGGTGACACTGCATGGTGAGTGCGCTCAGCTGTCCGACAACGGAAGGGGCCGGATACACGAGGCAATTCCTGCCTATGGTAGCTTGGCTAGGCGCTGGCCAAGCAACAACCGAAGGATGGCCGTCGATCAACTCACAAGCCTTGGCACCGGAGATTTTGATACCATCCAGGAGAACCAGGCGCTTGTTCTCCTTGATGCTGAAGTAGCACAGAGAGCCGTCCTGAAAAGCTCTGGAGCAGAGGCTCTTGGAACCGGCTCCTCTTCTACTAAGGCCTCTGTTGAGGTCTGCTCTTCGGTGAAGCTTCGGTGACCCGGTGACCCCGAAGCCGAACTTTGCCGGGCGACGCAGGCGACCCACATGTCTCGCTTGAGCCAGTGCGTGGCATCTTCTGCCTTGCCATCCTCGGAAGCCGGCTGTGAGGGGATGGGCATGCGTGACTGATTCGCTACATCATCATGCCCTCTTGCCCGCGGAGAAAGTTCAGGGGCAGGTAGAGCTGACCAGGATGCCGAGGAGTATATTCGATAGCATGCGGAGCAGAACTCTCCCAAAAACCTGGAAAGTTCCGTGAAAAGGCTCTCGAGCCATGTTGGCGCAAAGGTGCTGTGTTGAGCTTCCACAAGGTGCCCTTGTAGAGCGGAGCCTGCACACTTTGGCTCTGGCTCTGGAGGACTTATCCGAAACTTTCAGGCTTGAGTACTGCATCATGTGCAGCGAGGGCGTTTGTGAGGCAGAGAGTGAGAGTGAGAGTATAAGGTTGCAGTACCGGGTGGCTGTGGGCTGGACTGTCAAGGCTCAGGACACGCTACAGGGAAGTCTCAAAGAGAGAGCCTTCAATCTTAATCTTGAAGCCCTGCGACAGCAAAGCTTCCACAAAAGTATTCAGAAAGTACGGCCCCTCTATCTGAGAGAAGCAGCCTACAGAGCAACCAAGCTCAAGAAGAATCCTAAGAACGAAGACGGGTTGTCAACAACTTCGAATTCACTTCGAGACTGTCCCGTGTCTCAGCTGGTGATGCTACTTTCGCTTGAAGCTGAGTTTTGGACGAAGGCCAACTCAGCTTTGAGTTTCAAACCTGGTCTTCTTGCCAGCATTCTTGTTGTGCACTTCGGGTGCTGGTGCAACTGTGCAATCGCTCTCGAAAAAAGTCAAAATCCAAAAAAAAAAAAAGAGCCCCTAAACCCTCTCCCGGAAGATCCGTGTTTGGCCTTGCTGGAGGTGTCCTCGAAGCGCTGCCGAGCCTGTCGCACCACCTTCCTCGGAGAAAGCGGGCGCTCGCTGGGCTCTTTGGAGGCCCGGGGGTTTAGGGTTTAGGGTTTAGGGTGCCCTCTCTGTGTTGGTTTTGTGGCCCTTCCTAAACAAAGACTTTTGATTAAAAGAACCCGCCGTTGTTCTTGAGTATCACTGATGGTCGCTTGCACAGGCACCTCAAGTCGCGGGATTCTAGCTGGCTTCTCTATTCTTCACAGCACAATCACATCTCACGTCTCGACGTCTGCGAAACTCAACGACAACAATGCCCATCAACTTGCGCCCAGGTGCTCGCCACCTGCAGGCGCATCACAAGGCTCTTTCTAAGGCTCTTGGGGACCCAAGAGGACTCCCCACGTCTGTCGTCTGGCCTTCCAGCTCTGTCGACTCAGATTTCCCGGACTCCACGACGTATGGGTCGGAGAGGCACTGGGCCAGCGACTTCCTGGAAAGGGGCTCACGGCTCCCACTGGGGCCTTGAGGCTGATACTTCTGAAAGTCCTCTTCGGGACTCTAAACTTTACGAGATTTTTTCCGGTGCATGTGCAATTCTCCTGACATGTTCCCTAACTTCGCGGCTCCTCTTCGTGAGGTCGCAGACTAGGAGGGACTCCACCTCACCGCAGAATTCCCGGGCTGTGGTGCTTGAATTGGAAGCTCTTGGCGGCTCTGAGACTCAATCTAAGATACCTCACAGGAGCAGCCTCTTATCCCGATAATTCCCGATAGCCGTCCGTCCGAGGTACAATAAGCTTGTGGAAGTCGCGGTCGAATCGCTCGATGCTCTTGGGAACCGGCGCACGCCTTAATTCAGGTGCTGTGGACTAGAAGTGAAGAGTCGGAGTTGAGCCTTCGGGCACTGGGACCACTCGAGGAGGCAGGGCCAGTGCAAACTGCTAAACCCGAAAACCTGAACGGTGCTACGCACACGCTCCCGCATGTCGAAAGTTGCACTTGCAACTGTTGAGATCCTTGTCAAATGGTTGCGTCCCTTGCCAAACTTGCTCTGAAGATGCTCTGAGCTGCTTCGAGTCCAATCCCAGGAAACCCAAACTACACGCCGGGCTCTGAAGTGGCGGCACTTTTTTGGGAATGAAACCTAAGACAAGTCTTCTGATATGGAGACTGCACACGTGTTGAGCGCTGGTTGAAATTCCATAGCCGGGCCAGTGTGAGAACACTGGTCCACTGACTTGTAGGGTACATACCCTATTGAGCATCGCAACTCACAGATCCAGCAGATTGATCCTTACCGAATAAGGCTTGGCACGTGATGTGGCCAAGCCAGTCCATGAAGAGGAAACCTTGCCAGGACAGTGTGGTTTCTGAATCAAACGCGCAGGTTTCGTGCAGCAAGTTGTCCCGCCTGCTTCTCGGTGCGAGTGCCCGTTGCGAAGGAAGTTGCCGTACATGGGCTTCAAAATCGCATCCAGCCTCGCTGTCGGGCTGTACTTTGCACTCACCCTTGAAGTCGGGCTTTGTCGTGTCGACACCCAACCACACTTCAAGAGAGTTTGCAGACAAGGCACGTCACGAGCTCGCAAAGCGTGATGCCAATGCTCCACACCTATCAGCATGCAGCTCTATGCGTGAGTACGAAGCTCACACCGAGTTACAGACACTTGGCACTAAGGTTGCTGCGTCCAGGTGGGGCTTGGCGATGATCTTGGACTCAGCCTCATCGATCAAGAACCTGCAGCACTGGCTCAAGGCAAGTGAGGGAGTCCGAACGAATCGCAAGCGGCTGGCTGAACACTGTTCGGCGTGCAATCATCCAGCCCGCAGGGCACGAAACTGTTGAACCAATTCACCCCGCATGCCAAGACAACCCAACAAACGTAGCGGGATGAAAAGCTAAGTAGCGATGAGTCTCATTCAAATGTTCCTACAAGGCCTTCGGGAGTGCACTCAGGCTGCCATGTGGGGGGAGAGCAGGGGGCCATTTGTTGCGTGATTTGGACAGATTGCCTTATCGGCTCGGGTTGGTGCGCCGCCCAACTCATGATGACTATAGGGCCTTGGGGCGGTGACGGGGGTCTCGAACAGTCCGAAGGAATTGAAAATGAATGTCCCCCAAACCTAAGAGGGCAGAATGCCCTTCACACTAGACTCGTCCCAGTGCGCGAGAAGAAACCCTTGACATAATACTGTATGGTGCTACAACATCCTTGCCCAGTGAACATGAATTCATCATCCGATCTTCCGTTCCACGAAGTGTTTCAAGAGGAACCGTTGAGTCAGGACGTATCCAAAACCAAGGTAGACGCCTGCTTGACAATGCCACATCTGCTCTAGAACCCTACTGGTGCAGATCAGTGGCCACCTGAACGCCTACTCCATCTACCGCTTCAGTGGTGGCTCATGCGAGCAAGGAATTAAGTAAGACAGAGCAGATATACAGTGAATAATCCCCGTCACGCCGACCTGGCCCACTCTGGCGCGCAGTAGCACGGCGAGAAAGAGATGGACGAGTCGTTGATCGAGACTTCACCTGATCTGCTGAAGAACAGCTGCTTTGTCGAGGCTTCTTGTTGCGGAACAGCAGATTCAATCGTGGCGTGTCCAAACATGCGACTACCGACCAGCACCAGGGACGACACAACCACGAAAGAACATGTCTTGTCATTCAGCTCGTGCCACGCGCTTCGCCCAGGACAAGGAGCTGTCGATGGGAACGCAGCCGTCCACATCGATGAGCTTCAACCGCCCGTTAAACCTTCATAGCAGCAACGTAGGCCCGAATGAATTTCTCGGAAAGCCCGAGCATCGCCGCGGGGCAAAAATGTCAAATTCTGCCAAGGTGCATCATCAAGTTCTCGGGCTTCAAGTCCTCGGCTTGGCTCTCTTGGGCTATTGGCCGCGAACCCAGGCATCCCCGCTTGCAATGCCACCACGGAGCCAAGTGGACGAGACCCTTCGCATGGAGCCCGGCTACTACGAGGAGGATGGCGCGAGCGCAGGCCTAGCCGGCTGGACAACAACCCTTCAAAGTGGGGAGTCCCGAACAATTACGTAGGAGACTCATCGAGGCGCTCGAGACTCTAAAGTCTGTTTCGGAAGCCAAAGTATGAAACTGGTGCTACAGATGTCCAATACCAAGTCCCCATACCAAAAGCCCAACACGAGCTGGTATTTTCCCCTTCTTCAGTCAAGGGTGGCCTTGATCGACTCGCGGGACAGCGGCTTGTTCTTCTCCCTCTTTAGCGCGAAGTAGTCCTGCATTTTCGCTGGACCCTGAAGGGAGGGTCTGATTTTTGTGGCTTGTAGCTTACGATACTTCCTGCACGTAAGGCTGTCAAGAAGTCAAGTGCAAAGCCATGCCAATGTCACATGTGGCATATCAGGTAACACCCTCTTTCTTGTAAAGAATCAGTGAATCAACATCTCGATAGCGGCTCAGGGCCAATAATGCTATACCAACAACCCAACTTCTCATCTACAAGTCATCGAAAAGTTCAGACTGCCAGCATTTTCGCGGCAATTCAACGTGCCTTCACATGTCCGTTCGGATGACTGTCGCCACACACGGTACGATTCGTGATGTGCTTTACACATCACACTGTGTGTTGACAGCTCGTGATACATTCATGCAAGCTGCACCATGATGCCCTGAACGGCTGGTCTCGGCAAATTCTCACTCGCTCGGCCCCTCTTCGCTTCAGGCAGTTGATACGGGAGTCGTTCCCATCTACAGTCTCTTTGGAGCGAGATCTTCTCAAAGAGAAGGAAAGCGTCACTGCAACTGGAGGTCCATGTTGGAAGCGCTTGCCGAGTCGTACGGCGGTGGCGGTGGGCCTGGTACTGCATATGCACCATAGGAGCTGCCCCGCATCTGCTGCTGCGGGAGCTGCGGTTTCCATCCGTATCCATCGCCATACCGCTGCGGCCAGGAATAGGAGTCCTGCGATTGGTCGAAGTCCGTGGGCTCTGCCGAGCCTGTTCCCGCAGCTCTGCGCACGGCCTTTTGGTGCTTCTTGCCGCTGTCGTGATCTGCCCACTGTGTCGGGCCGTTCAACCACATCTGGCAGAACTTGCAGTAGATCGCTGCGTCATGCTCCGTCTCGCCAAATCGCTGTTCTACTGGGTCGAAGTCCAGCTGCTCGGACGGGGCAGATCCCTCCATCTGTGAAATGCTGTCCCGGTCTGCCTGCGTGTCGTCCGGCGCGTCTTCGTCGATACCCTTTTCGTACGTCCTCTTTCCAAAGCCT